ATGTAAGCCACGTGGCAAGCATTTTAATCCATGTCATCAGCAAAAATAATAACAACCAATCAAAATGCCACATCAATAAAGGCAATTGACATGCAATTAAGTCAACAGCCACATTAGCCATTTTAATAGATAAAATTTAATATTATTAACGATTGGATTGAGATTATTAAATTAAATTAATATAAGGACTAAATTTCTTTAAATTAGAGTAGAAAGACTAAATTTTCAAAAATTGAAGAATACAAAGAACTATGACACATTTTGACTTATTTTTAATTTGAAAACTTTTTTTCTTTATTTTTTCTAATTACTTGAGAAGCGAACGACAAATGATGAAAACACCAATAGAAAAGGAACCTAAACTTTTATTTATAATCAAGCATGGATCCAATTTTTTTTCATTTAAAGCCATAATAAGTTAGAAGCATTAAGCTGTTCATCATAAGAAATTAATGGATATGATGAGTAGAATGCAGTTTGCCATGATTAAGTATATTCTATAATGGCATAATTCGTCATGGTTGAACCATGCATTACTTAATTGTGTTGTGCAAATCCCATGGATGATTTCAACCTTTTTCATGGTCCAACCAAATATAAGCTTTGTGTTAGGCAAATTATTACTTGCTTGTGTTTGAATTGAAGAGCACCTTTGAACCATTAGGCTCATAAAATATATACAAATATTTTAAATAAATAAATGTATATATATACACATTTATGCGTGTGAGAGAGCGAGAAAGTGTGTGTAGACTGTACAGGGAGAAAGAGAGATGAATTGAAAGTTAGCATCAAGAAAATTTACAGTGATAATTAAAGAAAAAATATAATAAGGTACAACAACATAGAAATATATATACATATACATATACATATATATATATATATACACGTACATATTTATTAGTGGCAAAAAAAATAATAAAAAAATAAGTTTCATTTTATTGATTTTTACTATTTAATTTTTATTTTTAAAAGTTATAAATAAAATTAAAATAATTATAAATAATTTTATAATTAAAATGATTTTTTTTTTCATTTTTGCATGTGGACATGAGACCAACGCGGTGACTCCTAAAATATTGCAAAACTAGATATTGTAGTTTATTTAATGAGCTAATATGGTATCAACACTTATCGGCGCTACAAGGAATTTTATATTTAGTAACAAAATTCTTTTAAGTAACTTAATTTAATGGTATAGCATAACATGTTTTTTACAGCATAAAAGTGTTATATTGCAATTGGATATAATTATAAATGATATTTTCCAACAAGAACATACTATAATTATTAGTATAGAAACAGAATAATGCATTTTATAATTTAAAAAAATTACATGTTTTACGTATAGCGTTTCAAAACTATTGTTTGCTTTAATGCATTTATTTTTTGCTTTCAAAACGTGAAAAGTAAGTAGCAAAGCGCCAGTGAAAAAAAAAAAAAAAAACACTCTAAATCCAACTTGTTCATTTAAATATCATGTTATTATTATAATAATAAAATAGTATTTATATTAATGTTTTAATGCTTTTAAATAAAATATTCATGGGTCGGGTCGTCTCTGACTAACGTTTTAAAAAACAAACCTAATCTAATCTGTCTATTTAAGTTATTTTATTATTAAAATATAAATAAATATTTCTAATTTTTAATCTTTTTAAAATTAAATGTTAAATAAAAATATTATTTATTAATGTAATATGTTCATGTACCAGTTGAGCTCTAAGTCTTAAAATTCCTATTCAAAGCTCAAATTGAGTCTGGTCAAGCCAACAGGCCTGACAGCACGGGGATCGTTCGATAAGTTTACTTTTAAATATGTTTTAAAATATAAATTAAATAAATAAAATTTGCTTATTAATGAAAAAATAATGCCCAAGCCAGATATGAATTGGGTGTAGCCTAAGACAGTAATCAAGTCCAGCCAAGTAAATACGTTGCAAACCTCGAGCTTTACTCAAATTTTAAGGTTTAAAATTTGAATTTGATTGAATTTGTTTATGATTTGAGTTCAATTAAAAAAATATACTGAGTTATTTGAGCTCAATTATTCTTTTATACTAAAAAAACTAAATCAATCACAAAATTAAAAAAAAAAATTAAAATCAATTCATTCATTTTGTTCTAATTCTTCATTCTACAACACCAATCCTCTACAAAAAGTAATAATAGGAACTTAAAAGAATATGTTAACAGAATTATAAAGTAATGAGAGCTAAAGACGTAAAGCTAAACAAAAGAAAAGAAGATGGAGCCTAAAAGATGAAAACGCAGAAATCCCATGCTCTTTCATAAACTTTGTTTCAATATTTGAACACAATGGATGTTGACAAGATGAAACCCATACAAGGAGATTGGGCATTGTGATTCAAGAGAGAAGCAAACAGATTTGTTAAGGGTTGAGAGTTGTGCTTCAACTTTGAAATTGAACATAAAGGAGAGATGGACGAGACATAAGTTGAAAAATAGTAAGATTTTTTCCTTATATATTATAAATTTTAAGATTAATGAGGATAAAATTTTAAATAATAATATATTATAAGATATTAAAAATAAAAAATTAATTAAATTTACTTGAGTCAAATATTAAAATATTTGATTTTGAATCGCTTAATAACTCAATTTGCTCAAGCTCGATTCGACAATAATTAAATCAAATTTAAATATTTTCTAATTAAACTCCGGTAGATTGTGACCACTATTGTTTCATTTATATTTTGACATAGCTCGAAGACCTCGGTGCTTAACTAGCTTGTACACCTCTAGTTTCATAAAATGATTAAGATTGCATATTGTAACTAAGATTTGAAGAGATAGATTTAGTTTTCAAATTTAATTCAAATTGTGTGATAAAGTACATGCAAATATAATTTTCGTGATTATTTTAAATTTATGAATTTGTTGTATGACTATTTAATGATGAATTTAAAATACATATAAATATTTGTGAATTTAAAATTTATATTTTTATGTATTTCAAATACATAATCATATTGAATCTTAAATAAATTATCAATAGTGTGCACGCCTCATTATTATAATTTATATGGCAAACCAAATTCTAATTCACTTTTGAATTCATCTTTTCAAATACATCACAAACAAATTTGTATATAGAGAAAGAATAGCCATTTTCCTTCATTTCCTTGTTTCTTTCTCTTTTTTTCTCTATTTTCTTTCCTCTACCAAATAATAGTGTTAAGATTGTCATAGTTAATGTCCTCATAACTTGGAACTAACGTGTACCTATGTCCAAGTTCCAATGACTTAGGCCTAAAATTAATCATGTTCTTCTTTCCTTTTCGAGGGTGGTGAATTTGTAGACGAATTCATTTTAATGGTTGCTACAATTCAATAGTTTGTAAACAATGGGAATACTTAATAGGCACCAAATCGTTTGCTAGCTATCAAATTGTCAAACTATATCCAATTTTGGGCAAAGGGATTCAATTTTATGAATGAAATCCTTTCGATTCCTATATCTTGCGGTTTATTATGGAAGCCTAGCAATGTATGCCTTAACTTAGGAAATTAAATTAAATGCTCACATGCATTGAGGAGTTCATTTATTTTTGTGCATCCAATTCAAATACTATATAGATTTATATATATTGATTTATAGACATGAAAATGAAAGGTATCCGGCAAAAAAATAGTGGAAAATGGAAAAGCAACTTGGTCAGTCTTCACCCAATGGAAAACCATTGGCTTGGCCATTACTGTTGGCCTGATTTAGGTTTCAAGAGGTCGGCAGATACAGATCCAACATAGGTCGGACACGAGTTTTAATTCACTTAAAATTAATTAGGACATCTCTCATTTTCATCCTCCCTTATCTCTATTCCGTACACAGTAATATTTATACAGTTGTCTTATTTTATATTTTAAAATTTTAATCCTTGAATTGTCTTATTAGGGATCAACATTTTTTTTTGAAAAGAGTTGCAATTTGGGAATAAGATATTACAAGTTGAAATTTAAATTTAAGATATATGAATGTCGTTTTTTAAAAATAAATATATAAATTAACTATATTTATAATTTGCATACTAGGATAAATCTTGTAAGTTACATCAAACATCATACTCACAAAGAAAGATATTAACTTAGGAAACCTATATTTAGCATGCTAATTAGAAATGATGGGCACTTCCAAGTGATAAGTGCATTGTCAAATAATTGGGAATTTTTTTCCAAGTGGAGAAAATAGAAGTTAGGAATGCTTGCATGGTTGCATTGCATATTTGTTCAAAGCTTCACATCTTTGTAACCACTAAAGCAAATGCTTTTTATATACCCATTTTATGTCTAAATGCACTTAGCAGCAATGATAACAGTGGTTGTATGAATCAGGACTGTATTCCAATCACACGATGGGCCAAGATCATATTCTTTCATTCAAATAATTTTATGAATCTAAATTTAATAATTTGTATATTTATCTTATATTTTAAACAAAAACTATATATCATAATTTGTGTTAACATGAAAAATACGAAATATAAATTTAAATCGTGTCATCATCATGATTTTTTCGTATCATTTTTATGTTATAGCATTATGTCCTACTTTCAATTATCAAGTGTATATGAATCTTATGTTAGTTTTCAGTTTTTAAATGCTTATTCTCTAGGATCATTCTTTTCTATTTAAAAAACCTTTGTCGTGATCAACTAATTCTAAAAAATAAATGTAAAAGAAGTTCAAGAAGATTTCTACCTTGGCTGGACCATTCTTAGACTTTCATATCAGTGGGGCAAAAGCTTATTCATGGGCCCATTTGATTATTGGATTTACCTCCCTAACATGGGGCCCAGCATGAGAGCTAAACCACAGAAACCTAAACTGCCACGTCGTCCTCTCAATTTCATTCTTAAAGAAATTTAGAGTTAAACAAGGAAGATTTTTTACATGCATGTTAAATTTTGATCCCAGTCTATAAATGCCAACCCCATTCCTTAATTATCCAAAGCACCCATTTGGCAATTTTGAAACAAGAAAAAAAAAGCTGTCTTATAAAATCTCATGGCTGATTTCACATCAGACTTGCAAAACTTTAAACAATCATTTTCTTTCTTGGATATTGATCCTACCATGGAATCACTTAACCAATTTGCTGAGCTAAACCAAAGTGTCATAGACAATTCAGCTTTGAATTTCCAAAGCTTCTTGCCATTCTCCAATGACAGCTTCTTCAGCAATGAAGCACCTGAAATCCCAGGCAACTGGAGAGAAAACCTGCCAGATTTTATCAATTATAGCAACCAGGGTTCAGTGTCAGTTGCTCATCCCGTTGTCACAGCTAAAACTGAATTCTATGAAAGCAAGAAGAGAAAAGCATTGGATATATCAGAATGTACTTCTGGGAGCTCATATTCTCGACAGGTTTCTGAAAGTGGGATCAAGAGAAGAAACGTAAGTATATGTTATGTTCAAAGCATTTTTTCTTTTCCAATTCTTTCTTCTTCTTTTTTTTTTGTCTTTAATTTATTTTTGGCTTAATTAGCCTTTTTATATGAATGATAGAGTTCTTAAGGTTTCAGATTTTGTTTTTGGTTTGATTGTTACGCAGAATTCAAGAAGAGGGAAAAGAGCAAAAAGTAATGAGAAGGAAGAGGAGAAAGAAGTGGTTCATGTAAGAGCCAGAAGAGGTCAAGCTACTGACAGTCACAGTTTGGCAGAAAGGGTACATATAACTCTTTTCCTTTCTCATCAAGAAATTGGAATTTGTTCATTTTTTTATATCTATATTTGATTGATTTATCCATTCCAACCAATTGAAAATTATGCATTTTTCTGTCAATCAGGTTAGAAGAGGGAAAATAAATGAGAAACTAAGATGCTTGCAAGATATTGTCCCAGGATGCTACAAGGTATATGCTTTTCTCTCTTCAGTGAGAAGGAATTATTCCCAAACTCCGCTGATATCTCAATTATCATGTATAATACTGTGAAAGTTGCAAAATTAAAACAACAAAGTTTTCACTTACATTTTAAAATGTGTTTGATAATCTGCAGACCATGGGCATGGCAGTAATGTTAGATGAGATAATCAACTATGTCCAGTCCTTGCAGAATCAGATTGAGGTGGGTTAACGTTGAAAGAAATATTATCTTTTTTCCTTTTTCAACCAATGATTCATTCCAATATATGAATACATGTATATATGTATGTATGTATAGCTAGGTGTATATGTGTATATGCCTATATACATGTGCATGCATATGTATATTGTGCAGTACTGGTAACACAAATTTAGTGACCTAGTTAACATTATTTTTGACTGTTACAGTTTCTTTCAATGAAGCTGACAGCAGCAAGCACATATTATGACTTCAACTCAGAGTCGGATGCCGTGGAAAGAATGCAGGTGCTTCCTAGATAAAGAGAGTTTCTTTTTTTAATAAATCTTTATATATTCCTTTATGTAAATTTTATTTCACAAAGTTTTTGGTTGCAATGAGTGAACCACATTTCAGAGGGAAAAGGCAAAGGAGGCAAAAGAGTTGGAAAGATTGATGGGAGACGGATATGTTGGAGGGCTAGCTTGCTTCCACTCATCAACATGGTCCTCTTTGACATAACTTCTATATCCATGTCACACCTGACAAAATTGCCTTACAACACATGATGAAGATGCTCTATTTTTCAACATTTTCATGTTTAAAGTATCTGAAATGTACCCTACTTCATGTTGTATCCAGCAGGAAAAGGCTTTTGATAAGGTTTTTTTAGGTAAAATTTGTAAATTTTTTTATTTAAAGTGGTTAAATAAAAAGTAAGATAAAAAATTTAAATTGATAGATCGAAAAGTTTTGTTATATACATCAAGTATACAAAATTTAGATCTTTTAAAAATTTATATATATATATATATATATATTGGTATGAAACTAAAAACTTCATAAATTAAAAGACAGTGCGATATACATGATCTACTGCATCAGCGTGTAACAGGTCTCTAACAAACTCAGGAGATTCATGAAACTTTTCAAACTTCACTTCAAGAATTTCATATCTTATACTTGTAATTTATTGCCAGTCACAAGCATTAATGGAATTCTATTCAATATTTACAAGAAATTAGCTTACAAATACTTAAGTACATTTGAATCTTCTTCTGCTTTCTTCATGTCAATTCCCTTTGATTTAAGCTCACAAAGATCAAAACTTGACTGTTAAATCCGGCAATTTTTCTTAGTGGAGCCATATCATGCAAAACTCTATTAAACATTAACCGACGTGATTAAACTTCAATGCTGTGTAATTAGAGTAAGGATAATGATCAAAATGACAGCATAAGAGCCAAAAAACATTTGGACTTTGGGACATTAAGCTCAATATCAATAAGAACTTCAGTCCAATAATCTTAATCAGTTCCTTTCTGAACAGACTTCAATTACATTTGAGACATTAGTTAATGACAAAATTAGGACAAATCCATTGTTAATTGATTAAGAAATGATACAAAAAACCCGACAAACGAGCAAAACGAACCAGACATGAGTTTTCATTCATCCCATTCCCATAATAAATCAAGCTTTTATAAAACATAAAACTTGAGGCACTGTAGTTCTACCTTCATTACTATTGGAATAACAAAGAATTTTTTAGCCCTTCTTACTTATAAATCCTCATCAACCCTTTTCTTAATTTGCTATTTCTTTTGAATGGTAATGTACTATTTTAGTCTTTTAGACTTAATAACCCCACACTCTATCATCTAAAAAGGCTTGAGTAGAGACATATAACCTTGACATTTTAGATCAAACAACAGAAAGAAGCATCACATGTGGTTTGCCTTAACGTTTGATAATGGAATTTCATCTCAACTTGTTCATCCAAACCTATACTTCATTTTCTTTCTGAAATCCTTTCATTTGAACCCAAAGTACAATCATTTAAATGCAAACATTTAAAAGTTATATATATATATATATCTATATATATATATATATTTACCATAGGTAAACAACCATGTTGGTTATCATTTTGGATGAGCTGCAGAAGCCATAGCTAGCTCCTTGACTTGTAGGACCAAAAACACTACAAATAATCAGGAACAAATTTGTTATAAAAACCCTACTTGTCGGTAAAAATTCAGAAACTGCTAATCCTTTTTGCACAAACATTTTAGAGGCTGTGTCCCATGAAACAATAAGATTTTGATGCAAATGCGCGTTAGAATTAGAGAGGCAACAAATTCTTGCAGTTGCAAGGCCAATGAAGCCATGGCCAAGTTGTCGAACACACGTGGAAAAATAGAAGGATACATAAAATCTAATGGATGTTACCAATTCATTAAATGAATGATTGGAGGAGAGAAACAACTTTCAGTTATTTATTTCTAGTTAGATTTTGTTTTATAGTGCTAAATAAAAGGCGAGGGGGCAGATGCAGTGCATACAAGAAATTGGGGGATGCAAGAGGAGGAGGACAGCTTGAAATGGGCCCAGGCCATGCCCACAAGAGGAAGGGTAATGTGGGTTCTCCAACATCTGTAAATGATAAGAGCTTATGAAACTTTTATAGCCACTTCTGTTACTCTTTCCCAATCAAAGTCTTTCTTTGACCCACTTTTGACCATGTCTTATTGCTTGTCTCTTGAAGCATGCATGAACTAGGAGGGGAGGAAGGAAGGGCCTCAAATTGGAGGGTCCCATAGTAACTAAAAGGATAGATTTCATGTATTCCAAATATAGATTTAAGTTCACATATTTGGTGAAGTTGGATAGATGAGGAGTGGTTAAAGGGGCAAGTTCAAGGATCCAAGTACAGTGGGCTCGATATCAAGCCTTAGGAAGTGGAGGAGGTTGTTAGCTAGTCAGGCCTCTTATTAATCCCCACTACTTCTGAAAAAGGCATTAAATCTTCTTGCATGCTTCCACATCTTTGTTTTCAGCACACAAAAATTAAAGCTCAACCCCAAAAATTCGATCCCAAAGTAGCTTTTTTTGTCATCTCAAAATTGAAACAATTTAAAGGGGAAAATACAATGATAATCATACAAACCCTGGTGTTATAAAGGAAGTGAATATCATTGGTCAAAGAAAAAGGAGGTAAAGATTTACATATCCAATTTCTCAATCATAAAAATAACATAAGCCAAATAATACAATCAAAACCATGGGCTAAGATTTTTTTTTTTTTTATAATCTCAATGGTAGGAAAAATGTTTTGAAACATTTTGGTTTCCCATGTATAGACTTGGTTTAACTTTATATCGATTTATGTATTTATTTTTGCTTGCTTGCTTCTAACGGGTGCAAGACTAATTATGCCATTTATACGTTGAGAATTGCTTCATTTGTAATATACAAGTTATACTTAACATGTAATATTTTATCATTTAAAAGAAAAATCATTGTTAACGAACTTTGTAACAACATTGCAGTGTGAAAATGCTGACTTTTAAGTTCTAGGTAAAGTAAAATGGATATAGATGTTTTAACTAAACATGTTCCTGAATTGACAAATAAAAATATCAACTACTAAAACCAGGTCTCTTAGGATCCTGTATGAAAATATCGAAGTTTAGTTAAGATTAAAAATATTTTTTTGATCTAAATTAGTCTAGATTTAATTTTAATTAAATGGTTCAAAAAATAAAATCTATATTAATGCAAGTAAATTCTTACTAAATTTGATAATTCGTATATTCATATCATATAAAATATTAAAATTCGAGTATTTGTATCGTGTTTTACATTAAAATTATGTATTACAATTCGTATCCCTTATTCATATTATATCCATGTCATGTTATCATATTATATTTTAAATTATCAGGTTTAATTTTTATGTATATGTGTATATATATATATATATAGTTTGTTTTTTTCTAATCCATTTTGTCTTTCTTTCTTTACTCGAGTTATTTTTAATTAACAAGAGTTGTCGGCACCTTTTACTTTTTACTTTTTATCCCTAAATTTCTGCTTTGTTTTTATTTCTCTTTAATTTATTTGGTTTGTATTCTCGTTTTAATTTACAATTTTGGTGTGCTTTTCTATTCTGCTGCAGTGTTCTTGCTCAAAGTAATTTTGTAAAAGTAATGTCATGTTTGTTTTATTATTATTTAGATCATACCTTTGCATTACTATAATTTAACTATTATTTTCTTGATTTAGCTTTATTAGATTTTGAAAGTTGTTTTTATTTTGAGTGCTCCCTGGTTCGTTAAGTAATTAAAATACCATTGTTTTTGCGGCCTTTTCTTTTGACGAGGTTTCTTTTGTTTCTTCTATTAAACTGGTATACAATTAGTAATAGTGATATTGCAAAACAAAATATGATTAAGAGATTGATTAGGCGAAGATCAAATAGATGAAGTTTATGTGGTATGCATGTGCTTTCTGGTTCTATAAGGCAAGAAAGATTAAATAGACCATTACCACGTAGTTTTTCTGCCATTGTCGATGCTATTAGTGAGGGAAGGTCATAGACATCAGAGATTATATGGTGCACCTGTATTTGTTTCACGATGTAAACGAGGGGCGGACCAAATAGGTTTAGAAGGTTAAATATTTAGGTCAAATAGATAAAGGCAACAAAGAAATTCTGTATGACCAGACATGGTTGATCCTGTCAGACTTCTTAGGTCAAATAGATTTACAATCCAACATGTTTGATCCTGTTAGAACCTTTATAGATAATGTAATTGAATTTACAAGTTTTTTTTTTTTTTTGTTTCTTTGCTGGAATAGATACTTGTATATTTACAACGAAGAAATGTTTTTGTTTGAAAATTTAATTATGAGGACAGATAATTAATTAATTTTTGGAATTCATATTTCTAACACATGCATTAACCATTAAGCAATTAGGCAAACAAAAGAGAGGTTTTAATATTCAAACTTCCCATTATTTGTATAGTTGAAAGATCTTTAAATATTAGTTACATCTTGGAGAAGTACTTCTTAAAAATAAGTTGGTTTAATAGGTAAGTTCTAATGTATACCTGTGGCAATTAGTGATTCTTAAGTTTAAAGTTTGGAAAATGTAGGAAAATGAAAGGCTGCAATTGACGAAAAAAAAAAGAAAAAGAAAGGATGCAATTTTTTAAAAAATATTTTAGAGTTGGGTTGAAGGAAATTCGTTTAAGTATCAAATTTTGCATTCTTAAATTGGTTTTTGATAAATTAATTTTGGCTTGAAAAATAAGCAAAAAAAAAAACACAAAAATTTGATGGAGTGTCATTAGACACTTTTCTTTCTTGATCTGCAGTTCTTGCGTGTTGCCCAAGGAAAAATTTTGGCAGATATGCAGACAGAGTGCCTAAGTAAAAATCAGACAGAATGCCATTAGACACTTTTCTTTGATAAGTTTTTATTTAAATTTTGAAATTTATTTTATTTTAAACTATACTATTTGATAAAATATATTAAAAACCTATATTATATTTAATTTTTAAAAAAGCTTATTAAAATAAAAAATTTTAAATTAAAAACTGTATGAAATATAAAAATACATTATATCTAAAATTAAAAAAAACTTTTAAACATATAAAATTTTAAAATTTATTTATTTAAACATTAAAATTATAAAATATACTAAAACTATATATATTATATTTAAAAAATTATTATAAAAGAAAATTTTGAAATTTATTAATTAAATTATAAAACTAGAACTTCATAAAAATAGAAAATTTTAAAATTTAACTATTTTAAACTATAAATTTTGATAAAATGTATTAAAACTATATTATATTTAAAAAATTTAAAAAAACTTATTAGAAAAATTCAGAAATTTATTTATTT